CTTGTTGGTTTCCTCTCCATCCTTTCATTTCTACCTGCCTTGCTTTTATTCAGGAGGGGCCACTCCACTAGGAGTGCCCTCTCCCTTCCTTTCCACCTACCTATCCTTCAAAGCCCAGCTTGTTTTCCACCTCTTCATGAAGATTTTCCCAGTAACCAGCCCACACTTAGCATTCTCTCCTGTGACCTCCTCTGTGTCAATATAATACCATTTAGTAAATTTCCCCTTCCCTTCCCAATTTTTCAGGGAAGGTTGATTTTGTCTTCCCTGCTATATTGTCAAAGGCCATGTGTATACTTCTGTATTCCCCACATAGTGGATTAGTAATTTTTTCCGGTCCAAACTTATGATTTCATTGGTGTGTGTCTGTGGGTCTTCCAGAATGAAAAACCTCTGCAAGGATAAACATCTTGCCATTCATCTGTATTTTATAGTCTTATGTTCTTGAGTCACAAAAAGTTAAATGGCTTGCAGTGGCCCCATGGACAGTACATGTCAGAATTGGGATTTGGATCCAGGTCTGACTGATGCTAAGGATGACTCTATCTATTATCGTTTGTTATATATCATACTGTAAAACACGTACTGTTGGTTGATTGACTATTGATCACCCTCTCCTCCTGTACACTCTGTCTTCACTCTGTTTCTATTATGCTATTCTCTCATTTCTCCTTCTACTTAGCTAGCCTTTAAAGGTGGCTAAATGGTGTAGTTGAATGGACCCCTCATATTAGAGTCAGGAAGACTTGAGTTCAAACTCTGTCTTAGACACTAACTTGTGTGACTCTGGGCAAGTCACACAACCTCTGTCTTCTTCAGTTTCCTTACTGGTAAAATGGAAAATACCATAGCACCTACCTCACTGGGTCCTTCTGAGGATCAAATGAAATAATATTGGTAAAAAGTGCTTAGCACCATGCCTGGCACTATGTAAAGGCTTATTCCATTCCTCATCAATTTGAACTGTTGGTGAGATCCATCTGGGAAGAGCAATGGTCAAATTAGAGACCTAGGAAACACTTTTGTTTTTGGCTTTGGACTCACCAGCAGAGGTGGTGCTGGAGGCAGAAAGGAAGGAATGATGAGCTTGTTTTCTCTGGAAAGACGAGGGAAGTCACATGGCCAGTTCATTGCCTAGAAGATGGAAAATGAGAGCCTCACCTTGACTCTGCCTCAGACTAGTTGTGAGATCTTGGATGGGATCATTTACCACCATCATCCCACCCTCTGTACCATTTCTTCCTCTAAAGAGAGGACAACTCAACTAGGACCATGTGACTTTGGGGAGAGCTGGGTCATTTTGTATCAAATTGCTGCAATTCACGGGTGATTTGACTGGCCGCCAGGACACATGCAGAAGAGATCCTGCTGGGTGAAGAAAGTGGGATCAGTTGTGAACTTCAAAAAGTTTCTGCCTAGAAACTGAAGAGGTAACCATGGCAACAGCAAGGTTGAACTCAGAGAGAGCTCTTCACCTCCCAATCCCTGAGCTCTGTGGCCTTGGCTTTATTTCACTTGTTCACTTGTTTGTCAATTTGTATTTCTTTCTCTTACTCTCTTTTAGTCTAGTGAGAAGGAACACTAGACTGGGGATGCCGGAGATCCTAGTTCCAGGTCCTAGCTTGGTCAGCGTCTTGTTGGATGTCTTAGGACAAATCAAATGCCTCTGTTTTCTTATCTGCAAAACTGAGATCTATCCTCTGTTCAACTCGGAGAGGTAGGGTGGGAATACATATACATATGGTTTTCTGAGGGCCTCAGAAGACTCTAGATACACTCCAAGTGTTATGTTCTTAAACCATTCCTGACCTAATTAATCCAATTGGCTAGGGCATGGTGCTAATGAAAATAAGGATATGGATTTGGTCCTTGTAGAAGCTTGTTTATTCCACGTGGAGGACAACTGTCCCATGGAAACAGGCTTTCCTATAACAAAAAGACTGCATTCCTAATGCCATTGTAGCAAATATTTTATAAATGCACATCTTTGCTCCTTAATGAGAATGAGAATGTGTGGATGATTTGGGGACAAATCCATAGGTACTACAAAGCAATAAGTCAAATCACATTCCCTACTTACAGTCTTAGAAGTAGTCTTTACATATAAAGGGCTGTGTATTATACCGATACCCTTGCTTCTCTTCTTTCCTTTCTTCCTTCCTTCCCTCCCTCCCTCCCTCCCTCTCTCTCTGTTTCTGTCTCTTTGTCTTTCTCTCTCTGTCTATCTGTCTCTCTCCCACTCTCTCACATCAGCACTCCTAGGCTAAAGAGGTGCCATTTAAATTCTTCTGTATTTGACCGCTCCAGCTGTTTCAGAGGAATTTGAGGGTAGGGTCTTTCAGAGGGCATCAGGGTTTTACAAAATGGAAGGACCTTTTGTCTTGCCACTGAACTCCAGTGACTCTGGAGGAGGGAGAGAGGCTGATAACTTTGAGCAGATCTGCCTCACTCAAATCTAATTCATGAGCAAGTCACCCTAGCGATGTCTCTGGAACAGACCTGTTCCACAGACCATAAACCTAGGCAGGACAATCCCAATCAATAGACATTTATTATGTGCCTAGGTGCTAGGCACTGTGCTAAGAACTGGGGATACAAAAAGAGGCAAAAGACAACCCTTGCCCTCAAGGAACTTAAAATCTAATGGAATCGGTTTTTAGAAAAGGAAACCTTTCCCACATTTTGTTCTGATAATGGCCAATCTTGCATTTCCATTTCTCCTTCTGCCTCCTTCTTAATTTTTTCCTTACTCTTTTCTTGATCTTTTTTGCTTTTTTTCTTGTGTCCTTATTTCTATTTTGACCCTTTTCTCCTTTTGCTGTTTTCCTTCCCATTTTTTCTTACTCATTTGCTTCCTTTTGTTTAGCTGATACAGTAGACAGAGTTTTGGACTAGGAGTTAGGAAGACCTGAATTCAAATCCTCCCTCAGACACTGTGTAATCTTAGGCAAATTATTTGACTTCTTTAAGCTTCAGTTTCTTAATCTGTAAAATGGAGATAATAATAGCACCTCTCTCCCATGGTTGTTATAAGGATCAGCTGTGATTATGTTTGTAAAGTACTTTGCAAACTTTACAATGCTATATAAATACTAGCTGTTGTTGTTGCTGCTGATTATTCCCTTTGGTTTTCCTCTCTCTACTGGGGCCCTAAACATACAACAGAGTGGAGCAGGCAGTATCCAGAAAGGCATCTAACAGTAAGCTTGGACTAACACTTTGCAATACAATATTCTCTTCTCTGCCCCCTGGATGTCCCTCCATTAACTGAATAAAAACATTGTGCATTTACAAAGCACTATTGTTCCAAGGAACTAAAAAATGTTCCCCCCCCTCATTGTCTCCTTTACCTTTAAGACATCCTTGTGTGAGGTGGGAACAGAAGGGATCAGCCATAGGGGGTCTGAGTCTGAGTTTTGAGGGGGAGGGGACTAGACAGATTATTGCTCTTTTTTTTTTTTCTGCAGATGACAAAACTAAGGAAATCGTCATGAAATACCTCATCAGTAACCAACCGGGGTTAAGTATGAGCATGGAAGCGGAAGTTGGAATAAACAGAGGAATGTCCCGCTGATCCCTAATTGGGATATTTTCAGATGGCAGGCCAGAGTGGTAAAAAGACAGTAACCTAGGTCTCAGAGGGCCAGAGATCTAGTCTAGTGCCTGACAAACAATAGGTGCTTAATAAATGTTTATTGACTTACTAGTCTCAACCTTGAGCAAGTCATTTTATTTTTGAGCCCCTGTTCCTTCACCTGTAAAATGAATGAAAAGGTTGGACTGGGTGATCTCTCAGGTTTCTGCCAGCCCTAATATTTCGTCAATCAATAAACCAACGAGCATGTGTTAGGCACTTACTGAATGCATCAGGCACTGTGCTAGATGTTGGGTACCCCAATACAAAATTGGGTATCCAAATACAAAAATGAAACTGCCCCTGCCTTCTAGGAGTTTACATCCTATTGGGAAGACAACATATGCATATATAATTAAACTACAAGGGGGTGTCATGATCATCAGCGGGGGAAATCAGAAAAGGCTTCATGTAGAAAGAAGATGGCAGCTTGAGTTGAGTTTTGAAGGAAACAAGGGATTCCAGAGGGTGGAAGTGAGGAAGAAATGCATTTAGACACACAAGAGGGCCAGGCTTGGAGGTAGATGGGAGATAGAGTAATGTGTGAGGAACAGCAAAAAAGTCAGTTTGGCCTGATCAGAAAGTGTGTAGAAGGGAGTAATGTATAACTAGGTTGGAAAGGTAGGTTGGGGCCAGGTTATGAAGGGTCTTAAAAAACCAAATCGAATTTGTATTTGATCCCAAGAGCAATAGAGAACTATTAGAGTCTTTTCGGGAGGAGAGTGATGTAATACATCCAGGAGTTAATTCAATTCAACAAACTTCCAAGAGGACTGCGTTCTAGGCCCCCAGAGTACAGTGCACTGCGCTGGGCACAGTATTCAATGGGAGAAGCAGCTTGGGTCCTTGCCCTTGAAGTGTTTACAATACAGCCTTCCCAGTGAGCCGGGCTGAAGAGCTCCCATGAAACACCTTGTCCACTCCGCAATGCCAAACGATTTCCTGTATTTTACCGAACGATGGAGAGGCTCCTTCTTCCTTTCAAGCCCTGCATCTGGCACAATTCCTAGCCGCAGCCTGTCTCTGTGATCTCCTTCCCCTCCCCAACCCCTTCTTGGAAGATTTCATTCATAGGAGCGGGGTAGCTCTGTTGGTCGCAGCCACTGGCTGCGAATGTGATTTGCAAGGGATTGTCTGAGCCCCAGCTTTGGCTTCTCACCCCAGTGACCCCCGCCTCCCTCTTCTTCCCGTTATTACTGCGGAGAAGCAATCTTCCTCTCACTTCGTCAGAGCCTGGCCTGGCGGCCTCTCCTATTGGTCAGAGCCTCGGAGCCCACTGTCCCCCCCCCCCGCCCTTTTTTCCTTCTTCCCTCCTCCTCTCCTCACCCTCCTCTTCTCATGTGGTATAAAGCAGCGGCTTCTCCCCGGCAGCATTCAGTCTAACAAACAAGAGTGTTTGTGTGTAACCGACGCTCTCCTCCTGCTGCTGCTATTGCTACTACGAGCCAGACTCTGGAGAAAAAGGGTCGGAAGCTTGCCACCATTCACTCCCCAACCTGCTGCCCGGCGTCTGCCAGCATGTGCCGGACACTGTCTGCATTCCCCAGCACCTGTCTGGAAAGGTAGGAGGCGTTTGCAAAGTTGGGGTCGGCTGTTTGGTCCGCCTAAAGTCGCCCAAGTAATAGGGGAAAACGGTCGTGGGGTGTGGGTGTGTCAGAGCTGCCCCTGAGACCTTGTCCATGGTCCAGTTCAGCTTCATTTTACAGGTGAGGAAAATTAGGGCCAGAAAAGCGAAGGCCCTGGTCCGGGACCGTACGGTAATGTTAGCAGTGGTACAGGGACGACCAGTTGGGCTCAGCCCGCTGTCACTTCTCAGTAAAACGGAGAGTGAGACCACATACAACCTTTGTGGATTTGGTGGGAACGAGGCAGACGAGATGGGAGAAAAGAGGAGACGCTGCCTTTTCTGAGAGTGTTAGATGCTCTGGGGAGGAGAGAAGGATCACAAAGGGTTTGGAAGACTTCTGGAGAGGGAGGAGTTGTGTGGGATGCAGAGAGGTAGGGAAGGGTCCGTCCAGGTTTCTGTAGCACTTCTAAGACAAGTAGCAGCTACTCCTGCTGCTGGGCTAAAGCAGAAGCTGGGCCGGGATGCCAAGCCTTCTGTGGGTCAGTCATCTATAGCTGTCCTGGGAGGTTGAGTTTGTTTTCCTACACACTGGAATTCAGCCCTAAGCAGTCCTTCAGGAACGATTCTATTTCTAGTAAAAGGGGTAAGAGGTAGGGAATAGAAGAATTACATTCCCAGCCACCGTCAGCAATTGGTACCATGCTAGTTCTTGGGGAGGCACTCCGAAGAGTTTGCTGTGTGCAGCTCTCCTGTAGGTACTGGTAGTTATGGAGGTAGAGGACAAGAAAAAAAAAGGTGGAAATGGGACAGAGAAGAATCTTACATTGTCCTCAAATCCCTAGAATTAAGGAGACACTCAGAGAAGTGCCTTGGGCAGAGAGGCACAGGGATTTGTGTGACTTTAATATGTAAATACATAGCTGTATATATATATATGTATATATATATGTATATGTATATATGTATATATACACACACATATATGCATATATGTGTGTATCTCTTTCTCAAATTATATTATATATATGTGTGTATGTGTATATATATATGTACACACACACACACACAAAGTAGCATGGCCCAATACTGGCCTTGCTTGATCTTGAAGACCTGGGTTCAAGTGCCATCTCAACACGTACTGGCGATGTGATCCCCTAGACATTTACTCTTTCAATGTTTCCAGAGAATGTTAAGTCCTGGTCTGAGGAGTTCTTAATTTTCATTGGTAGAGGAAATTTCCTTACTGGGAGTTTTCTATGACAGTGAAATCACAGAGTTCTACTCCATTTCTCCTCCTCCCCCTGAAATAAACCCTGCAAATTATATACACACAGATCTTTTCGAAGCATTGAATAATACAAATGTAATTTCGTAAACACACAGGTCAGAGAGTATAAGCTCTTCCTAGGATAAGCTTAAACATTATTTTTGTAGCATTAATGACAGTAAAAGGATTTTGGCAAAAGCTGAGTTGTCACATCTCCAACAGCAGTGAAAGTTAATTTTGTTTAGGTTTTAAATAGCACCAGCTAAAGGATAATCTTTTTCTCTTAGACTATCATAACCCTTTCTTGCTATTATATTGAAGAGAGACAAGCCCATTGAGTTGAGAGCCTCCTTCCCTGGTCCCTTTGATAATACTTGGATGTTTTTCTTTTGTCTCCCAGAGCCAAAGAGTTCAAGACCCGTCTTGGAATCTTCCTTCATAAATCGGAATTGGGGACCGAGAGTGGGACTGTCAGCAAGTTTGAGTGGGGCAGCAAACATAGCAAAGAGAAGTAAGTATTACTGGATATGAGTGACACTGCCTGGAGCTGTCTCTTCTTGGGAAGGAGAGTGAGCTGGGGGTAAACCAGAGTCCTGAATGAAAGTAAATGAAAAGAATGAGAATGAGAGAGAGAAAAAATTAATTAGGACATTAAAGGGGATCTTGGCATACTCTGCCCTAAAATTTTCAGTAGGTCGTATCACTAAACTCCTGTGTCTGACTGGTCACTGTCACCGGTCACTTGTTGATTTAACAAGCAGTAGTCAGGTTATAGACCACCAGCTAACAGAAGGACCCATGAATCTGCCATGTAAATAGAAGTCTCTCATTGAAAATACGCTGGTAACTGTAGCAAGAATCAAGAGAAAGATGAAAACCCTTGTGAAATTTAAAAATAATTCCACTTCTAGATGACTAGAAAATCACCTTTAGGATGTGTGTGGAAGAGGCTATAGAATTGACTTTTGTGATAAAGCCAGGAAGCTTTGCTTGGGATTCAATAAAAAACAAAACAAAACAAAACAAAAAACACATTGATTTTGTGCAAAACAGTAGGCTAGACACTATTGATACAAAAAAATTGTTCCTGACCTTAAGAAGCTCGAATTCTCTTGGGATAGGCCTAGGTGCTATTGAGGGAATCTATGAAAGTATATGACTGCCTGCCAGAGCTCTGGCTAGGATTTGTGGTAGGAAATCTATTTTGTGGGTGTGTATTTTTTTTAAATATCTTGACTTCTTTTCCACAGATTTGTTCCAGAAGATGTGTTAGGATGGAAGGAATCCTTTGACCATTTACTGAGCAGCAAAAGTAAGTAAGACCTTGTCTGTATCATGGCATATTCCATATGCCACATATGCATGTGATATGTTTCAAACTCATTGTCCTGGGTGTTGAGGTCCTTAGAGTAACGGCAGTGGGGGCAGGCCACGGTCAAGAAGGAGCTATAGGGACTTGACTTTGTTCAGAACATCAAGTAAACGCTAGCCTGGAGGAAATGATATGTAGTAATGGCCCCATTAACTGTAGTTATTGCCTCATTTTCCTTTTCTTCAATCCCTCAACCTGACCTTCTTTCTCACTATTTTTCCCTTCGCTATTGCAGGTGGCATAGCTGCATTCCGGGCCTTCCTAAAGACTGAGTTCAGTGAGGAGAATTTGGAATTCTGGCTGGCCTGTGAGGAGTTCAAGAAAATCCAGTCAGCTACCAAGTTGGCTTCCAGGGCCCAAAGAATCTTTGAAGAGTTCATCTGTAGTGAAGCTCCAAAAGAGGTGAGTTAACTGACACAGTCGAGCGGTCATCCACCCCTTGGCCTTGCCCCATCAGGCCGATGCTTCCTGTGTTACACAAGCCTGGGTTTGGATGACTTAGAGAGGTGAGGTGAAGGGAGAAGGGGTTCCTCTCCTTTCCCATCCTCCTCCCGAGAATAATACTGTGCTCCCTTCACTGGAGAAAGATAGAAACCTTGTGTTTAAAGGTGCTATGGTCAAAGGCCAGGGGACTGGAATGCAATCTTGGCGGATTGATTTAGGCTGGGTTCCATAATCTTTAATCTCATTGCCTCCTGCAACTCCAGACCAGTAGCATGACCAGCCTTCTTAAGGCTCAAATCATACACATGCCTAGAAAAAATAGGAATTACAATCTGGCTGAGACTGGTGATTTACCTGCTTCCATGCACCTGTCAAGTCAACAAGCATTTTTTAAAGCCCCTACTGTGTGCCGGTCTTTATGCTAAGCTCTGACATTATGAAGACCAATAAATGAGACCCTGCTCTCAAGGAGCTCATAATCTATCGGGGGAAACAACATGTAGATGACTATGTACAAACAAGATAGATAGGGGATCAATTGGAGATCATCTCGGGGGAAGGCACTGGATTAAGGGGTACCAGGAAAGGCTTCTTGTAGAAGGTGGGATTTTAGCTGGGACTCAAAGGAAGTCAGGGAAACGCAAGTCTTCCAGACCCAAGGTCCAGCAGGCTATCCGCTGCGCCACCTAGTGGCCTGAACCGCCTTTCCTCTATATAACATTCTGCTTCACAATTATCCATCCATTATTGTATTGTCACAGAACCCCGCGTTTCTAAATCTTTGTTTTAGAGATATAAACATAAGCACAGAGAGGCTAGCAATAACAGCCACCTTTGTATAGGTCACTATATGTTTGGGTATGCTATTTCACTCAATCCTCACAACATCTCTGTGAGATAGGGTGATGTAGGTATTTGTTGTTCCATGGTGCTCAACTCTTCCTGATCCCTTTTGGAGTTTTTTTGGGCAAAGATACTGGAGTGGTTTGCCATTTCCTTCTCCAGCGGTATAGGTATAGGAATGCAAGAGGTGAATGATTTATTCTCTGTGGGTCATTCCCAGAGATGGAACTCAAAGTTCAGTGACTCCAAAGATAATATGGAGAACAGAACCTGGACTTGGAGTTAGGGAGACTTGGATTCCAATCCTACTTCTGACCTTGGGCCTGTCACTGATCTCCGAGCCTCACTTTGCTCATCTGTAAAATGGAGATGACAATAACCAAAGTACCTACCTCATAGCATTGTTGTGAGGATCTAATGAGATAATGTATGTAAAGTACTTTGCAGCCTCTAGAGTGCTCTGTCAATGCCAGTTATTATTACTGTTACTCCCATTATTGAGTTGTCTGAATTCACAGAACCAGTTAATGAAAATTGAGATTGGATTCCCAGGTCTCCCAATGAGTCCTGTGTGCTTTTCTCTGCATCCTAGTCCTTCCTTTGGGACTGCTGGAGGGTGTCCTTTCACCCCACTCATCCTGACAACTCTTCCCTCCTTCCTCCCCAGGTGAACATTGACCATGAAACAAGAGAACTCACCCAGAAGAACCTGCAAGGAGCCACAGCTACATGCTTTGACGAGGCTCAAGGGAAGACGCGCATTCTGATGGAGAAGGACTCCTACCCTCGCTTCCTGAGATCAGCAGCATACAGAGACCTGGTAGAACAGGCCTGTGAGGCTTCTACCTCCCAGCCCAGCCGCCATGCTGGAGAATGCTCACACACCTGAGCAGCCTGGCTGTAGCCACACCTCTTGGATGGGGCAGCTCTTTGGGGGAGGCAGGAGCTGCAAGGTAGTTGGGAAGGACAGAGAGAGGAAAAGCAGCTGGAGCCTCATGTTCTGGACTCCAACTCTCCTGAAAATTTTCAAACTAAACTGCTAACAAAGGGAATCCTCCCCCCCTCCACTGTGGGAGGGAACCGAAAGGAACAAAGGAGGCATCTGGTCAGTAGATCCCACTGGCTCCTTTCATCCTCACCAGGAAAGCGAGGGTTCCTGAGACTATCAGTCTTGGGGGAAACGAGTATAAATGGAATCCTGAAAATGGAAAGGCATAAAGGGCAGAAGAACAAGATGGGTGGCTTGCTTCTTAGTTAATTCACTCAAACTCTGGGCAAGGAAGGGACCTCTGTTATATGTTGGGGAAGGGATTGCCTCAATCTGTTGGCCAACTACCATCTACAGTTTGAGCCTGCCCAAGATCTCTGCCTGCAGCCCCTGTGTTTATATCCTCTCTACCTTCAGCCAAGGGTCAAGAGGTAGGGAGCCAGGTGTGCTTGCACTAGAACCAGATGAGGTTTTGGACCTCACTGAAAACATCCCTGCGTCAGCTATTGAGCCCTACCTAGGAAACCATTTTGTTCTTGGGAAAGTGATGTCTTAACGCCCTCTCCTGCCCTTTGCCGGATAAACAAAGAATTGGCATGGGAACTGGAACAAAGTGAGAGTTAGGTTTCCTGATTCCCAGTTCAGGGCTCTTTCTATCGTATCCCTACTTAATATGACAAAAGAAGGGAAAGACATCTGCTGGGTCTGGCTTTCCAACCTAGGGATGGGAATTACAATCACTGGGGACAGTTTGTGCCGATGGAACTTGAACCAAAATTACCTTAGGTCAATGAGTCAAGGCTTTTTATGGAGTCTAGGAAAGGGCTTGACTGAAAGGATAGGGACAAGGCACAGGGTGAGACAGGGTCAGGGGACAGGAGGCAGGACCTCTAAGAGAATCAACACCTCCTCCTTTCATTCCCGAATTTCTGAACAAATGCATTCCTCCCTGAGGCTGCCACTCAGTTATCCAGACTGGAGAGGGGAGCGATCTAGTCAGTCAGGTAGAGATGGCCACAGGACTTCTGACGCAGGAGACAGATGAACACTGCCCTCTCGACTTTGAGAGCTCCTCCAGGAAAAAGCATTTTGTTGTTGTTATTGTTATTATTATTGTTATTATTATTGTTATTATTATTGCTGTTGTCACTATTGTTATTTATTATTTGTAATTTTCAAATCCCCTAGTCTGGAGGACCTCTCACAACTAGCAGCCAGATTTTCCTCTACACCCAAATCTACCTCTGAGGCTGCCGGGAGCCCCTCACAGAGGGTCGGGGGCTCCTCACAGCTTCCATATGTGTTTATTTATTTATTCTGACATTTAGGGCTGGTTTCCTAGATGTGAATGAAGCCCATGATCCTCCTCTCCTTTTTGACTGCATGTTGCATTCTTGCAAAATAAAGTGAAAACCCCAAATGGTGACCTCCCTTCTCTAGTGTCTGCACGTGGGCATCAAAGGGGGAGTAGGAAGGGCAAGGCTTTGGGGCATAAGGGGAGGGGGCTGGCTGTCCATGGTGCTCTCTGATCAGCATCTGGAAAATTCTGGAGGAGCTCACAGATGTGCGACAAGCTTGGATGTCACAAGCAGACGTCAAATGAAAGATGGATGTCTGCTCACCTGATAAGGGCATGTTTATATAGGGAAATGGGTGCTGGAAAGGCAGAGGAGATGATTTGCGACTTCCTTTGGCTGTGTTTGCACAGTTGAAACAAAAGAGGAGCTGGATCCAGTGATTCGAAAGCTGTGGACAACTAGGATTTTGAATGGGGAAATGATCATAACAGCTGATTCTTACATAGTAACTCTAAAGCTTGCAAAACACTTTTATTTTTTTCATTCTGAACTTAACATCCGCAGAAATAAAATGAGCATTTTCATACACATAGTAGACAAGAAAAAGAGGATTGTATATGAAACTTTCAAATCTCTGTTATCAACAGCCTGACCTTTTAAAATCTATGATAATTCTTACTTATCTTACAGACTTACTTAAAGACTTACCTTGTTTGATCCTCACAACAACTCTTCCTAGTATATCCCATTTTAAGGATGAGGAAACTGAGGCTCAGAGAAATTAAGTGACTTGCTTAGAGTCACATAGTCATTCAGTGGTACAGGCAGGATTCAAACCCAGATCTCCCTGAGGCCATGTTTCCCATTCTATCCACTCTACCATGCCACCTCACTGGTGAATCAGGCTCTAATTATCCAATAATTACAACAAATGTCTCAGTTCTGCTTAGGAGCCACTGGACATCATTGCTTTTATTTCATTTTGCCTATGGATTTTCTTAATGACTTTATTTTAAGCATGGGTTCAGAGTTCTGTGAGATAATTTTCATGAACTGATCAGGCTGATTACTAATAATAACTCAATGGTAAAATTTACAAAGTGTTTTATGTATTTAATTCTACTTAAGTCTCATAATAGCCCTGTGAGGGAGGGTATTCTTATCCCAGTTTACAGTTGGGAAAGCTGAGGCTTAAAAGTTAAGTGATTTGTCCATTGTCACACAGCTTGTAAGTGTGAAAGGCAAGAGTTAACCCAGGTCTTCCTTCCTGGAAATCCAGTGTTCTTTTTTCTATCCCACGTTACCTCTCAGGGCAGCTAAGTGGTACAGAGATGGAGTGGTGAACCTGGAGTCAGAAGGACCTGAGTTCAAATATGACCTCAGTCACCAACTAGCTGTGTGACCCTGGACAAGTCACTTAACCCTGTTTGCTCCAGTTTCCTCATCTATAAAGTGAGCTGGAGAAGGAAATGGCAAACCACTCCAGTATCGCTGTTAAGAAAAACTCAAATGGGGTTACAAAGAATCAGACATGACTGAAATATGACTAAACAAAGTTGCCTCTCAGTTAAGTATAGGTTCATGAACCCAGAAAAAGAAGAAATTAATCTGGGTCAAAAAGAAACCTGACAGACGATCTAGAAAACAATTAAAATCAGTTCTTTCAATTTATTTTTTCACCTCTTCTCTATGTTTTTTCTTTCTCCCCTCTTCACCCTTTCTTTTCTTTATAATTTTCTCTGTATTACCCTTCCCATTACTTTCTTTTTTCTTCATTCTTTTTTCTCATCTTCTTTTCTTCTATCTGTGTTGAATTACGTGGCTTTGAGATATAGATCATTCACATTAAAAAAAATTGTTCTTCAGATTAGGTAAAATAATTCAAGTTTAACTGGGGACTAATAATTCACAGGATCAGATCTGAGGAATTAGAGATGAAAGGGACATTAGAGAAAATCTAGTTAATTTCATCTTTTCCCTCCAACTTTCCCATTGTACAGATGAGGAAACTAAACTGGCATGTGATGGTAAACGGTGAGGAATTCAGTCGAGGATAGGCAGATGGATGTGCCTAAAAGGGAAAGGAGGAGGGAAAATAGAAGGAAGTGAATGATGCTTAGTGAGTAATGAAAGGCATTTGATGTCAATTTTGCCCAGAACAAGAGATCCGGATAGGTAAATTCACCATGCAAGGTGCCTGGTTTAATTCAGGGGGAAGTCTCAGTGGGCTTGATCACTAGTACATTCTTATGTTCTCTGATGTTTGTGGTATGACCATTAAGATAGGAGTGGTGGCTGTAATAACAGGGCATTTCTGTAGTATTTTAAGGCTAACAAAAGATATCACATAGTGAAAAGGACATTGATGCTGCTGTCAAGAAGACCTGAGTTCAAACCCTGGCAGCGATACTCTTAACAGCAGTGCTGTTAGCCTCTGTTGCAAACCTGGATTCCTAAAAGCAGCGTCCCTCAATTCTGCCATCAAGACCAGACTCTGAATGCTCTCATTCCCTGAGCTCTGCTGTCCCCTTGTGGCCATTTCCTTATGATTCCAGCGCTTCATAGAAATTCAATCTCCCTTTCAGGCTTTTTTACTCTTTTTGTAAAATTTCACCAGATTTTGAATTCCCTCTTTGGAGTTGTGTCTCTTGTACCTATTTGTTTCACTTTGGTTTTTGTGACTTTTTAAAATGTTATTTTAAAGAAAAACAAGGATTTTTTTTGAATAGAGACCTAAGATGTAGACAGACACAAGACAGCAGAAAAAGGGTTAAATTCAGTTTTCATTTGTCAGCAAGGCTCATGGTAATATTTTTTTTTAAATGGAGCTCTTAGGTAAGAAGAAAAAAAATGTTCAAGTCTTATTAAGTACTAATCTCAATCTAATTCACTGTCATTAAGTCTTTAAATTGGCCAAATTATTCTGATTACATTAGGGAGAAAAAGAAAGATTTGAAAGAAGTCGAAATCACTTTAGAAAACTGAAGAGTAGTCTCCTAGGATTAAGGACGTAATAGAATTACCATTTAATGAGTTAAGATAATGGCTTTCATGTCCTTGGTTTCCAGAAAGCTTGATTTAAAAAAAAAAAAAAAACAACAACAGAAAACCAAAAACAAACCCCAAACCAAAAAACATATAACATTGGTGATTTCAAAGATCTGCTCACTAGCCCAACTCCTAGAAAAAGACTTAATTAGCCTCAGAGAAAAGTACTGATGGATGAATTTCTCTTTCATTTATATTGGGGACAATTAGTTTGGGTTTCTTAAGGGAGGCCACCCAATGTCAGAGGTGGCATTGTCAAGGTAACTGAGAGGGAGGAAGTAATGTTGGTCAAGGCCAGTGGTGGGCATTGAAGAGCCAGTGGAGAAAAGAGTTCATATAAAGAGCTCCCTTCTATTTTTTATTTCTTCTAAATTTATTTTGAACTTGTAAGCATCAACAAAGTATTTAAATATACAACCAAAAATAGTTATAAATTCAATTACTTATAATTTGTTTGAAAATGTATATATTTAATTTAACAAAATTTCTTATTTCCTTCTGTCCCTTTTGAAACTCTTTTTCTTTTTCAGATTTTGTTGAATCTTTTCCATCTCTATAGCACTTTAAGATTTACAAAGTACTTTCCTGACAAGAATCCTGTCAAGTAGATAGGGTAATGTTAGTCAGTCAACAAGCATTTATTAAGAACCTACTATGTGCCAGGCACTGTGCATAGCACTGGGGATACAAAGAAAAGCAAAAGACAGTCTTTGTTCTCAAGGAGCACAGTTTAGTAGGGGAGACAGCACTCAAAACATCATGTGCTAATCAGACACAGGCATAACTTGTTTTATTCTGCTTTGAAGATACGGCATTTTTTTTTTTTTTTAAATTGAAAGTTTGTGGCAACCCTGCTTTGAGCAAGTCTTTTGAAATTTTCCCCACAGTATATGTTGGTATCATGTCTCTGTGTCACATTTAGGTAATTCTTGCAATATTTCAAACTTTTTCATTTTTTAATATATTATGGTGACTTGTGATCAGTGATCTTTGATGTTACTATTGGAATTGTTTTGGGGCACCATGAACTGTGTTTGTGTAAGACAGCACACTTAACTGGCAAATGTTGTATGTGTGTTCTGACTGCTCTACAAACCAGCCTTTCCCTATTTCCTTCCCTCTCCTCTGGCCTCCCTATTTCTTGAGACACAATAATATTGAAATTAGGCCAATCAATAACCCTGCAACCTCTAAGTGTTCAAGACAAAGGAAGAGTCAATTGATGTAGCAAACTTGTTGTCTTATTTTAAAAAATTGCCACAGCCACCCCAGTCTTCAGCAACCACCACCTTGATTAGATAACAGCTGTCAATATTGAGGCAAGACCCTCCATCAGCAAAAAAGATTAAGACTCTCTGAGGGCCCAGATGATGGTCAGCAATGGTCAGCATTTTTAGCAATAAAGTATTTTTTAAATTAAGGTATGTATATTGGGTTTTTTTTTGGTCATAATACTATTGCACACTTAATAGACTACAGTATAGTGTAAACATAACTTTGATATATACTGGGAAACCAAAAATTTCACATGGCTCGCTTTCTTGCAATATTTGCTTTATTGATGTGGTCTGGGACCCAACCTGCAATATCTCCAAGGTATGACTGTATATGGTCAAGATAAGTAGGAGATGGGGCAGCTAGATGGCACAGTGGATAGAGCACTGGCCCTGAAGTCAGGAGGACCTGAGTTCAAATGTGACCTCAGACACTCGACACTTAGTAGCTGTGTGGCCCTGGGCTAGCCACTTACCCCCAATTACCAAAAAAAAAAAAAAAAGATAAGTAGGAGATAACCAACAGAGGGAAGGGGCTAGCACCAAGGACTCTCAGGAAAGCTCTTAAATTGCCTTTCTTGAGGGCAGGGACTGTCTTTTGCTTTTCTCTGTATCCTCAGAGCTTAGCACAGGGCCTGGCATAAGGTATCAGCTTAATCAACGCTATTGACTGACTGACTAACAGGAAAGGGTTCTTGCACAACTTTAGCTAAGACTTGAAGGAAGCTGGGGAAGCCAAAAAGCAGAGGTGAAGAAGGATGGAGTGATAATTATGAATGGCACAGACCTCAAAGGAGAAGAGTCTG